TGCGTATGATCCGACGAGATTTATCTGTTGGTTGTCAATTTTGATTGGGCCATTGTACTGGTTTAACAGGATGATGCCTGGTGATATGTTTTCTACGGATGGGATGTGCTGGTTGTTAACTAATGTGCATTCTGCTGGTTTGCTTCTTAGCAGCTGTGGGACACAGGTGGTGTTGCTAATATCTACTATATTCTTATGATTACATATTCTTACATTATTATATTCTTTACATTTTCCTTTTATTCCATAAACTTTGTAATTTTTACAAGTTATGATATCCTCATATGGGATTTTATTAATAAATTTTTTTACTTTTATTGGCTTTATCAAAATTGAATTACAAATATCTTCGTTTGTTAAAGGTAGGCCTATTATATAGAACAACATTGAGTTATTTATTACAATTTTTATGCTTGCGAGTTCTAATGAATCTTCTATGTTACTTAGCGTTAAATTATTATTTTCATATATTGATTTTATTAACATTAGTTCTTCGTTTGAAAATATATAAGAGTTGACTATGCCGGCCTTGGCCCAATGTATGGCATAATCTATATTTATTATTTCTTCTTTAATAACTGTCAATTTATATTTTAATTCTATAGCAAAGTTATGTTGTATATCTTCGCTGGTTTGTACAGCTTTTAAAATTTTATTTGACATTGTTGTTATATTGTTTATCCTATCGAATAGTATCCTATTTATTACAACTTGGTTATTGTTGTTATCGGTTATATTATTGATTTGACTCTAGCATTATTAAATCGTCATGGTCTGGGTTTCCGGCGATCCATTTCCAAGTTTTTCCTAGTATGTCTATTGATTTTCTGAATCTTTTGGGTTTAAGTCTATTTAGATATGTTTGTGTTAGATTGGTGCTTCAACTTTCTCTCCCTCCTTCTTGTTATTCTTATCAGCCATGTTAAGAATACTGAACCTCAGTTTGCCAAAAAAACTCAAATCAGAATGCTGTTAGATGAGTGTTGCTTATTTCGTCTAAGGTTTTTTGACATTCGTCTAGGTCTATTTTATGTATTACTCTATATGTTCCTGTTTGAAGTTTCGTCAGTCCTGTGTCGAAGGTTGCCAGTTGTGAATTTGTGTAATCTATAATTTTAAAGTCTGCGTACACTAGATGTACGAGTAGCGTTAGAAACAGCTTCATAACCGGTAAGCGTGTTTTTATCCCTTTTCCTCTGTACTCAGGAACACTCTCTTACTCCTTATGATGTTATTTTTGCTCGGGTTGCTGGCTGGTTCCGGTATAGCGTCCATGAATATTCCACTTCCTTTTCACGCCTGTAGAAAAAGTCTTTGTGCACTTTGTTTTTATGTTTCGGTGGCACTTGTTGAAGTTGTTTTTCCTTTTCGTAGCACTTTTTTTTTATTTTTTATTTAGTGGCACTTTTTTAAAAAACTTATAACTTCACGATTTTTTATTTTCGTTACCGGCCCAGCTTTTTAGCTCAGGGCGCCAATTATTGGCCTATTAATTAAGAAGGCCAAAAAAAAATTTATTTTTTTTGGGTCAGAAGACCTTTATTGTTGAGTTCTTGTTATTAACTAACTTAACATTTTAATTTTTCCAGCTTATATTAGTTAAAATTACTTAGGCTAGCAAAAATATCTTAAGCTAAAGTCCCAGTAGCTGAATGCCGGATGTTGTTCCAATTTGACTGCACTTGTTATTCGGCGCATGCCGGATGTTATTCCCAATTCGCTAATATTGCTGATCTAGCGTCGGGATTGCATTTTG